CAGCTCAAAATAGTCATCATGCCTAAGTGGCCCATCTTGGGACAGCCTGCCCTTGGCCCCTACAACTTCTATCAGGATGAGTAGAAAGAAGGTAGGAGTCCTAGATTCGTGGTTGGAGGAGACGGGTTCCAAATCTAGTTCTGTCACCTATCCTCAATATCTTTATTACTGAAGAGTTGAAATATAGAGACCATGCCTGATACTATTTAATGCTTGTTTACTGAATGACATGAGGGCCCAAGAGGATCCTGTATTATTTTGAGAGGGTGTGAAAGGTTATTGGAGAAGAATATGTACAGTCATTATTCAGAAGATTTTATTCTTCTGATCTTTCAAGGCAATGACAATTCTCATTTAGAAATCTTCCTGTTATTTGGTTAAAATAGCTTCATTTTTTGAACCAGGGAGTTTCCTCTTTAAAAAACATCTGAGCTCTCTCACTACCTTGACTGTTGGAATCAGAACTAAAGACTTTTAGGAAAACTTTTGCAAGAATTTGGTTCTTAGGCAACATGGCTACTGGAGTTTTTAAATTTATGGGAGAAGCTAACTTAGAAATCTTTCCTGAATTGTGCTAATTCTACCCCACACATCAATTCTAAAGCCACAGCCCCTGACTCCATTTGTTTTGCCTCCATTTTCTGCTGAAAGCAAAATCTATTTTCATTGACTATGGATAAAAGAGGATGAACATATACACACATATACACATACATTCACACAGCTCAGGTTCAGCTCTTCTGGTCATTTTCTTTTCTTCACTGTGTTTATTCATTTGGAATGCTTTTACCTTTTTTGGCTACTCTTCTCTTGGTCTCTTGCCCTGTGTCCAGAGCTCTCATTTCAGATACACAACAATGTAATAACAACAATGACAATTTACAAGGCACCTTCCATGGCTGCATCCTATTTGACTTTTTACTCCTGTGAAGTAGAGTGGAAATTATGCCATCTTATCAATGAAGAAACTGAGGCCCAGAATAGTTAAACTTATTTAGCTAAGGTCACTGCTCAGGGCCAGAATCAGATCCAGAGCCCTGGGTGAGGTGATCTGGGAGACCCAAATCTCAGTGAAAATTCAAATGATTTAGATGAGGTCATGAGAATGGACCCTCATGATGTGATTAGTGCCCTTATAAGAAGAGATGTGTTCTCTTTCTCCTTGCTATGTGAGGACACAGCAAGAAGGCAGCTGCCTGAAAACCAGGAAGAGGCTCTCAGTAGAACCCAATGCTGCTGGCATCCTGATCCAGGATGGCCAGACTCCAGAACTATGAGAAAATAATTATCTGTTGTTTAAGCCACACAGTCTATGGTATTTAGCCCAAGATGACCAAGACATAGAGTTTTTGACTACTCAGTAGATAACTAGCACTTATTTGATAAATGAATAAACAAAAGCTTTCTCTAAATTCTGCAGCCAGACCCAGAAGAAGCAGCAGCACCTGGACAGTTTCTTTCAAACTTACCATATAATGGAATATATATATATATATATATATATATAATGGAATATTACTCAGCCATTGAAAAGAATGAAATCTTGCCATTTGCAACTATGTGGATGGAGCTAGAATGTATTAAGTGAAATAAGTGAATCATAGAAAGACAAATATATGATTTCACTCATGTATGGAATTTAAGAAACAAAACAGATGAACATAAGGGAAGGGGGAAAAAGAGAAGAGGAGGAAATAAACCACAAGAGACTCCTAACAATAGAAAACAAACTAAGGGTTGATGGAGGTATGTAGGTGGGAGATAGGCTAGATGGATGATAGGTATTAAGGAGGGCACTTGTGATGAACACTGGGTGTTGTATGTTAGGGATGAATCACTGAATTCTACTCCTGAAACCAATACTGCACTGTGTGCTAAGCAAAATTTAAATAAATTTAAAAACTGAAAAATTTAAGCCAAAAACCCCTAAAATATAATGAAATAAATCATTGTTTTTGAAAAAATTTACTCTATCTGCTCCTGAAGAAAGCATTTCAAGCTGGGGATTTCCCTGTTGCTGGGAAGTCTCACAATATTCGTGTGTGTGTGTGTGTGTGTGTGTGTGTGTGTGTGTGTTTAAAATTGTTTGACCTACCAGTGCAATGTGCCAGCAAGAGCCCAAGATGTGCAGTAAAATAATTGGATGTGGGGACACAAGGTTTGTAAGCCTGTTTGGCCTTAGACCACTCAACCTATCTGAGTCTCTATAAAATAGGGTCAATAAAGTCCATCTCACATGACTGCCATGGCACTCTTAGCTATAAATCCCTATCAAGATGGAAGTCATTGTTACTGCTTTATGATATCAACCTACTTGAGAGTCCCTGACTCAGTGCTCCTGCTTCTTGCCTCCCACACTGGTGAGCACAGACTCTCCTGCCTCCTACTAGTAAGCAGCAGCCCTGCATCTTCTCTCTATGTCATTTGGAGCCAAAGTTTGGAGGTTTCCTTCCTAGACCTGCAAGTGTTTTCCTACATTCAACACTTTACAGGTACCCTTGTGGTATTTTCTGACAAGGGCTCGTTGGTCTTTGTCATAGGTTCCGCAAGAGAGTGGTAGAGTACCCCTGTATCTCTACTGGACATCAGACTAGAAAAAAGTACACTGGCTTTGAAGTCAGATGGGCTGTTTGCCTGTTCCCTTAGTAGCTGGGCCATCTTGGACTCCTCATTGGCATTTATTGAGACCCACTTGGTCATCAGCTTTCTGAAGCCACTTGCATTTTAAAGAAAATACCAAAATATTAAGAGAAACAAAATGTGTCAATTAAGACCAACAAACATTTTCATACTACTAAAAGGATTGTCATTCCATCACTGTTGTAAACAGAATGAATTTCCCACAGCAACTATCTTATAGATGCAGATGAAGAAACTGAGGTTCCAAGAGATTAATCTAAGACACCAAGCTTATTTTTATTTCTATTATTTTTGTTGTCTATTTTAACATCACCTTAGGATCAAGCAAAACCCCATCATGGTAGAGGAGGAATGGATGGGGGACAGGGTTTGGAGGGAAAAACCAGGAAGACATTCCCACAGACTAAGGCAATTCTGCTTCAAGGAACCTCCAGCAGACTCCCAGATCTTTTGCTGGGATCTAACTCAGCCTGAGCCCCTCACACTCTAGGATCATCCAAGCAACTGTAACCTGAGGGCATCCTTTTGCCCTTATTCATGAGCTCATTTTCTCACTTTCCTGCTCACTCACACAAGCTATTAAGCAACTACCACATTCAGGAATGGGTTCGACCGTGAAGACACAAAGGTAGATGGACACAGGTCCTAGCCCTTCTGGAACTCAACTTCTAGTGGGAAAGCAAATAGATAACAATACCATTAGTTTATGAATCATGCCACAGATGTTTATTGATCCTTATAGGCTGGAGGATCATCTCAAAATAATACAGAATGTCACCCTTCTCAAAGCCCACAACTTCACAGGTGATATTAGGAAATAAGGCAAAATCCTAACACAGAATGAAAAGCAAGAGTTTCCAGGGTCTCAAATCAAGGACCTCTGTCTTAGAGGATGGAGGAAGGATAAATAGAAGATGTGATGTTTGTGCTGGGTTTTTAAGTGCCATCAGGTTATCAGGCAGAGGAGCAAGGGAAGGAACACCCAAGGAGATGGAACAACATGTTCAAAGGCAGACCTGAGAATGGGTCTGGTATATTCAGGGAAGAGGTGTGTTGGCTCAGACAAGAGAGAATCAAGGGAATGAGGAAGGAAGGGAGGGAGGTCTGAGAGCAGAGAATGAAATGCCCGGTATCCCAAGATAAGAAGTTTTCATATCATACTATGAGTAACAAGACCCCAACAAGAGCCTGACAGATCAGGCTTTTTTGTTTGTTTGATTGACTGCTTTCTTTGTTTTAAGAAAGGTTGCATCATAAGCACTGTGAAAAATGAAGAGGCAATAATGGGACTAATGAAGTACTTGGCTGAGAAATGATGGAATTAACTGAGGCATGGGAAAGGAAAGGAGAGATTAGAGTCAGGAGACATTTCTTAGCTCATAACCAGAAGACTACAGCTAATTGCTTGTAAGCACTTCATCTGCATTATCTTGTGCAGTCCTCATAATAACCTTGGGGCTTAGATGTGGCTTCAGTGTCAGTCCAGCTCCAAACTATAAGTCCTGAGCCAGTATCAGTACTGCCTTCCACAATTGGTGTGGATGAAGAGGAGGAGGAAAGAGAGCCATGGAGTTTTCCACCTTGGAAAGGCTTTGGGGGAAACGAGGTACATTCACTGCTGGACACGTAAGAGCTAGGACGGTCATTGCTCAGTCCATTGCACAAATGGATCTGGAGCTCAGAAAGGGATCACCATCTATCATTAAGGAATTGCAAACTAAAACGGTGATGAGATACTACTACATATCTATTGGGATGCCTAGAATCTGAAAAAAAAATCTGAGCTGGAGAGGATGAGGAGCAACAGACACTTTCATTCATTGCTGAATGCTTTGGAAACACAAAATAGTATAACTCTTTTGGAAGATAATAATCTCACAAAGTTAAATACAGTTAAATACATATTAACTAGCAGTCATGCTTCTAGGGACCTATCCAACTGATTTGAAAACTTATGTACAAGGGCGCCTGGGTGGCGCAGTCGGTTAAGCGTCCGACTTCAGCCAGGTCACGATCTCGCGGTCTGTGAGTTCGAGCCCCGCGTCGGGCTCTGGGCTGATGGCTCAGAGCCTGGAGCCTGTTTCCGATTCTGTGTCTCCCTCTCTCTCTGCCCCTCCCCTGTTCATGCTCTGTCTCTCTCTGTCCCAAAAATAAATAAACGTTGAAAAAAAAAAAAAAAGAAAACTTATGTACAGACAAAAACTTATAGCAGTTTTATCCATAATCTCTAAAAACCAAAAGCAACCAAGATGCCCTTTGATAGGTGGCTACATCACCTGTGGTACATCAGTTACTCATCAGTTAAAAAGAAATGGACTTGGGTGGCTCTTAAATGCATACTGATAAGGGGGAAAAGCTAGTCTGAAAGGGCTGTCTACTGTATGATTCTAATTACATGGCATTTTGAAAAAGGCAAAACTATAGAGATAGTAAAAATATCAGTGGTTGTCAGGGGTTCAGGGTCTGAGGAGAGGGTTGAGTAGGTGAACCAGAGAGGATTTGGAGAGAAGTGAAACTATTCTGTGCGATACTGCACTTGTGCTTTGTCAAAACCCTTTGAACTTTATGTTAGCAAGAATGATCCTAAGTGTATGCAATTAAAAAAAAAATTTAGGAGGAAAGAAAAATTCCAAAATAGAATGCATAATGTAATTTTTAAATCTAACTATATTACAAATGGATGAAACAGCATCACTGAGTGTGTGTGTGTGTGTGTGTGTGTGTGTGCATGCGTGTGTGTGTGTGTGTGTGTGTGTGCGCGGTGGAGGAGGCCAGTAAGGCTGGAGTGAAGTGAAAGAGAGGAGAGGTAGTAGCAGAGGTAGCTGGAAGCAAAACAAGGAGCCAGTTTGTGTAAGATCTTTGAGGCCTATAAGAACTTGGGCTCTTACTCTGAGCGAAATGGGAAACCATCAGAGGGTTCTTAGTAGAGGAGAATTGTGATCTGACTTGGATTTCAATAGATCTCTCTGGCTTATGTATTGAGAATAGGTTCCAGGACTGAGGACAGCATATTTAGCAGATCAATTAGGAGACCAGCGCATCATTTCAAGTGACAGATGGTGGTGACCTGAACCAGAGTGGCAGTAAAGGAGGTGCTGACAAGTGGCTGAATGCTGGATGCACTTTGAAGGTAGAATCAGACAGATGAAGAAAATGAGAGAAAGGAAGGGGTTGCCCAAGGGTTTTGGCCTGAGCAACTAGAAGCATGGTATTTCCCTTTACTGAGCTGGGGAAGACTGGAAGGAGCTGTTTTAGAAGTTCTATCAGGAGCTCAGTTTCAGGCATGAATGTTTATGATGCCATTAGATACCCAAATGGAAAAAAGCACAGATTTAGAATTGGAACTTTTGCTCAAAATAGATGTTTTGGCTATAAATGTAAATTTGGGAGGTAAAGTGATAAGTTAAAAAGGCAGATCCCAAAGGAGTGCAGCAGGAAATCAAGGGAAGGTGTAGAAAGTTGGACCTTAACAGAAGTTGGACCTTAACGGAAGTCTCTCCCCCCAGAGACTGATGTGAAGAGAACGTTGGGAATGGGGTTGCAGGCATATTTGCAAGGTTGCAGGAAGGTGAGAGTAAGAGGGTGGGGAGGGAAGCCTGGAGAAGGAAGTGGAATGTGGGGCTGTTTGTGAGGGCCCAGGAAGCAGAAGCCAACTAAAGCAAGCAGATTTGCCCCAGGGCAGTGCTGGGAACCTATCAGGATGGCGGGCAGGGCTCCTCTGTGACCTCCATCTCAGGACAGGCCACCTTGCCACTGGTCACCTGATGTGCCAAGAAGTTTTGTGGCCACAAGTGCAAGATGCCGATACGCGATACACCGTGATACGCCCTTGCAGCAAGTGCCCCAACAGGTCTGCACGCGTCTCCTACCATTCTCCCTTCCTCCCTGTGCCTGTGCCTGCCAGGACCCATGTGCTGGCCTCAGATGCTCCAACTCCACACCCACCAGGGCTTGCATGCACTCCCCACCCCCCCCACACACAGGCCCGGCCAGGAAGCCAGCCCGCCTGCACCCTCTCCTGGTCACACTGGGGCAGGATTCCAGCTCCCTTCTGCTTTGTTTCTTCACCCACCTTCTACCCTAACCTCTAAGGGAGTCAGAGCACACACTGGGACCCCTATAACTGGAAAATACCCGGGTTACCTAATTCAACCCCACTGCTGCAGAGAAGATACCAAGGATATTCATTGGTTCCACAAATATGTGTTGGGCTGCCATTATGTGCTACTGTACCTGACACCATCTCAGGAGCTAGGGATACACTGGGGAGGTCCCTGGCCTCATAAATCTAATGACTAGTAAGAAAAACAGTTATGAAATGAAAATCACAGAATTAAAGATACAGTTCCTGGGGCGCCTGAGTGGGTCTGTTGGTTGAGTGTCCAACTTTGGCTCAGATCATGATCTCACAGCTCGTGGATTCGAGCCCTGTGTCGGGCTCTCTGTTGACAGCTCAGAAGAGCCTGGAGCCTGCTTCGGATTCTGTGTCTCCTTCTCTCTCTCTCTCTCTCTCTCTCTTTCCCTCTATCTGCCCCTCCCCCACTGGCACTCACTCACTCACTCTTTCTCAAAAATAAATAAACATTAAAAAAATTTTTAAAAAAAGATATAGTTCCAAATCAAGCAGTGTTGGAAAGTAGCAAGTTCTGAAAGAGTATGTGGTTAGTGGATGGTAGGGGGAGATTTCCTCTCTGAAGACATGATGTTTAGACCAGGAACTAAAGAATGTATAGAAATTGGCCAGGCAAAAAAAATGGAGGGGGGTGTGGGAGAACATTCCAGACAGAGAAGGCCCTGAGAACCACAGCCCATGACCAGTAGGACCCTATCTCAACACATGTCACTTCCTTAGTGTATCCCCCCTCCTTCTATCTCCAGATGAAAACTTCCATAAGTTAGGTTACTCAAGCGTGAGAATATGTGGTATTTTATACTTCCGCTTAGTTGTAACATTGCAAGTTCTTCCTCTTTTCCCTTTTAAATACCAACCCAGAGAATTTCATTACCTAAATTTGACAGAATAACAAAGCAAAAGAGTATCCTTGGCTTCACTGGGCTAGAATCCAAACCAAGATTCTCTGATTTTAAGTAGCCACGTACCTTTAATTTCCTCAAACACCAGAAGTCTACAGATCATGAAGCTCTATCCACCCTCCACAAGCAACACATCACTCAGAAAAGTCCTTGGACCTGTCATATCTGGCTTACTATATATACATACACTATTCCCTGTGTGCCTGCGTCAGTAACAGGCTGGAATGCCCAAAGACAACTTGAAGAGTTAAGGGGCCACATCCAGATCCATGGCCACCAGACCAGAAGATGTACGCCTAATACATACCAGAAGATGCATACATGAATCTCATGACATGAGAGAAGAAGGGAGAATAGTTAAGAATGGAGTTAAGTTTAGTAAAAAACAAGAATAAAAATTCCATATCTGGAGTTCATAAGAATACTGATATAAAGTGAAATGTCTATGGGTGCTCCATAATGAAATGGACTAATTGATAGGAATGAAAAATGGCATTGTCACACCACACACACACACACACACACACACACACCACACATACCCACACACACCCACATATACACCACACATACTCCACACACACATACCACACACCACACAGATACAACACACACAACGCATATATATCATACACACACCACCACACATACAACACACACACATATACACCACACATATACACACCACACACACACCACACATATGTACCACACACATACCACACACACATATACACAACACATACACACACCACACATATACTACACACACCATACACACATATATACCACACACACACACACACACACCTACATACACCACACACACATACATACCACAGACACCACACACACATATGCACCACACACATATCACACACATCCACATCCACACACCCACCCCCCACACACCCCACAAACCACACACAGCACACCTCACACACACATACACTTTAGCCACAATTTGTGTCTCCCTTTAGCACTTGCAGAATTATAGGGAGTAAATGATCAATAGCACTTGCTATCATATTTGTAGTTTCTGCAACAAATAGCAGAGATTTGTGACTAGCAGATGATTAGCATCCTCAAGGTAGATTTCTATACAAGGCAATGGTGGTGCAGGGAGAGGGACCTCAATCTAGGTCCTTGACCACATCTCCTCAGTTATTCATCTGGGAAATGGGAGCACAGTGCCCTCCTTGCACCTTTTTGCAGAGGTCAAATGGGGCAATGTATGTAGGAGTGCCTGGATCTGGTTGTCCAACGCCTGTGGATGTCTGGGAGGTGACCATGAAGGATTTGAATAAAATGCTGAAGAAGAAGGAGCTATGACTCATAGACAATGATGAAATAAAAATCCAAAAGATTTCAACAGATTTTAACTATGAGGAAATACTTCTTTAACACTAAATCAGGACAAACTGGAGTCCCACACTTAGGTTGAAAAATGGGCCTGGTGAGGGCAAGAAGTAGGTTAGAGGCAGTTGTGATAGAAGGATCCACTGGGCCAGTGGGACAGACAGTGTAACCAAAAGGCAGCCTTGGAATGCATTGCTAATATTATTTTTATAGAAGTATAATTGACATGCAATGCTATATGAGTTTTGGGTGTACAAGACAGTGATTCAACAATCTGTACATTACTCAGTGCTCTCCACAGTAAGTGTAGTCAACATCTGTCACCACATGTTATTACAATATTACTGACTATATTCCTTATGCTGTATTCTCATCTCCGTGACTTATTTATTTATAACAGGAAGTTTGTACCTTTTAATCCCCTTTATTTCACCCATCCCCCCCACCAACCTCCCCTCTGGCAACTACCAGTTTGTTCTCTGTATATGAGTCTGTTTGTTTGTTTCTTTGCCGATGCTGTCACTATTACAACATGGATTCAGAACTACACCATTTACACAGGATTTTGCAGGTATCACCTTATAAATTAAAGAATATTGTTGGATCAAGGGAAGTAATTGGTCCAGTGAACTTTGTCTGAGTAAGGGATCCTTGGGTATTTTTTCTACCCATTGTAAAAGGAATGTGAGCAACCTAGAGAACAACCTGGGGAACAGAAACTCACCTCAGTGCTGGCATGCACTAGCTATGTGACTTTACGAAGGTGGCATAGATCTCTTTTGCATTGCTGGTGGGAATGCAAGCTGGTGCAGCCACTCTGGAAAACAGTATGGAGGTTCCTCAAAAAACTAAAAATAGAACTACACTATGACCCAACAATTGCACTACTAGGCATTTATCCATGGGACACAGGTGTGCTGTTTCAAAGGGACACATGCACCCAAATGTTTATAGCAGCACTACCAACAATAGCCAAAGTATGGAAAGAGCCCAAATGTCCATCGATGGATGAATGGATAAAGAAGATGTGGTATATATATACAATAGAGTATTACTTGGGAATCAAAAGGAATAAAATCTTGCCATTCACAACTACATGGATGGAACTAGAGGGTATTATGCTAAGCGAAATTGGTCAGTCAAAGACAAATATCATATGACTTCACTCATATGAGGACTTTAAGAGAAAAAACAGATGAACATAAGGGAAGGGAAGCAAAAATAATATAAAAACAGGGAGGGGGATTTAAGAGACTCTTAAATATGGAGATCAAACAGA